CATGGCCGGGCCAGCATGATCGGCGTCAACAGCATCCACAGCGGCGCTGGGCGGCTGCGCTCGCGCTCGCTGTGCTCCGTGCGCTACGGACGCACGCACCGCGGCGCCGAGACCCTGTGCTACGGCTGGCCGCAGCGCTCGCGCAGCCTCAAGCCGGTGCTCTACACCGACCTGGTGGTCAGCCGCCTGCAGAGCCGCAGGAAGAAGAAGGCGGTGAGGGCGCGGGCGCGGGGGGGGGGGACGGCGCCCGTGGGCGGCTGGAGGTGGGCACGGACTGGGGTGCAACGTGACCGCCCGAGCTCATCTTGCTAGGTAGAAGCCCGACATAGGCTCGCATGTGGGGTTCGGGACCTTCCAGGGCAGATGTGGCTGCAGGCAGGGATCTTGAGCTGGGGCCCGGGTGGACTGGAAGACTGCAGACCGGCGTTGCTGGCGGGACCCAGGGGGACGCTGGGAGGGAGGGATCCGGGTCTGCGCTGGGCCGGCTCCGGGGCCTCCTGGCAGGTGTGTGCCAGGACGGCAGTGTTATGGGAGGGGGTGTGCCATGGGTGCCCCCACCCAGGGGCGTGTGCAGGGTGGGGACGCCTGGTCAGCCCGTGGCAGGCATCCCTGCGCGCAGTGGGAGTCAGACTGCTGTTGGGGTGCACGCTAGGGGGGTACCGTGTCCCATTGCCAGGAAGGACCGACGTCACCACTGCACACAGCTTACACGCAGGCAGCATCACGGCCACACACACAGCACATGCACATGCTGGGACACACCCACTCACAGACAGGCTGGTGAAGCGCCCCCACAGCCGGAGGTGCCGGCATGGACCCATATTCCAGGCCACTCCCAAGAAGAGGGGCCCCCCATACTACTTGCTGGAGGCCATGCTCTCCTCGGTCCGCCTCAGGCTCCCTCGCGTCCCTAGGCCAGCTGTGTGACTGGGAAGTGACGGGTTCAGGGGCTCGAAGTTTTGGATGGACAGGGCTTGGAAGCTAGAAGCGCTGCTTCAGACTCCGTACACTCCTGACACCATAAAGTGTGACGTGGGTGGGGTGCTGGAGCCTGGCATTTGGCTTGGCAGGGCTGTCTGGGTTGGGGGAGGCCTCAGCTTGGCCTGGGTTTGGAGCCAAGAGAGTACATTCCCCGTTAGTCAAGGAAGGGGCGAGAGGCGCGCCTCCTAGCATTGGCCTCAGTTTCCCCACGTGCCCTGTGTGGGTTTGTCCTCTGGAAACAGGCCAGAGGGCATGGCCGAGGGAAGGAGGGTTTCTTGGACGGCTCCCCCGCCGTCTTTAGAGCTGTGCTCGCACTAGACTGGAGCAGGAGAAGCCCTTAACAGCAGCAGCAGTAACTGCGGCTGTCCTTCAGTGTGCAGCCAACGTGTCGGTCCGCATGTGCCACCTGTTTGCCCCCACACGTTGCTCGGTTTGTTCCTTCCCGAGGACGCCTCTGCAAGGTCGTGCAGCTAAGGTGGCAGAGCGGGCCCTGGGTCTTGCTGGAGCCGTGTTTGTGGCCCGTCTCCCCTGCTGTGCCCTGCCCTGTTCATCTCCCCCAGGTGGGAGCCGGCTCCGAGCTTTGGTTCTCAGGAACACAGCGCACCTTCCCCAGGACTGACCCCCACTTTTCCTCCTCAGGCCTTGTACAGCTCCATCAAGAATGAAAAGCTCCAGTGGGCCATGTGAGTGCCGGGCCCTGGGTGCGGGGAGGGGTGCGAGCTGGGAAGGCTCCCTCACTTCCTTCTTTGGACATGCTGGCCTGGACGCAGGTCCGCCTGTCTTGCCTCCAGCCAGGCTGTTATGACAGGCGAGCTCCCACAGGAGGAAAGTGCTGGTGAAAGGGTAGTTCCCTGGCACCACTGGGAAGGCAGGCATCTCTGGAGGTGTGCCCTAGCCAGCAGCAAGGAGGCCCTCGGGTCCTAGGGAGCCCACGAGTCTCCGGACAGGCAGCCACAGCAGAAACAGACTCAAAGTAAGAGTGCAGTCTGAGGGAGAAGGTCCAGTTCTGGCCGCGGGCCCCCGGCTGAGGTTAGAGCTCCCTCACCTGCCACTGGCTGATCGCTTGGGGTAGCTGGGAGCTCCCAGTCCTGAGGAGAGAGCTCCGAGGGGTAGAGCTCAGGATCGGGGTACGGGAGATGATCAGGGAAGGGTTTTTGGAGGACTGGGATTAGGCAAGTCTGGAAGGAGGGAAAGCATTTGGAGAGAGAAAGAGGAAGGCATTTGGGAGACAAAGGTCTATTTGAAATGACTGTGGAATGGGGAGGCCACAAGAGGTTGGCCTGGCTGGAGTGACAATGATGAGTGTCATGGAGATTTAGTGTAGGTTCCATGTGGAAGGCAATAGGGAGCTACAGTAGGTTCTTGAGCAAGGGATTGACAAATTAGAATCTGATTACTTGCCTGACACATATCTGACAGAGCTTACGGAGATACTGGGGTGGGGCACTAGGAAGCCATCTCTTCCTTCTGCAGCTCGAGTTGAGTGTGTTTGAACAGCTGAGTCAGTGTGTCTGTCCTGGTAGAGAAGGGTGTGAGGGTTGGGGGTGTGTGCAGAAACAGGACTGCGGTGGTTATGCAGGAGGGAGTGGCCAGGAGCTCTACTCTGAAGGGGGAGCCCTGCTTGGCTGGGGGGACCCCGTGGCAGAGCCTCCAGTTTGGGGAATCCCAGAGCCCCACACGCACTGGGGGAGCTCTCCAGGGCAGGCAAAGGCAGGGAGGGGCCGGGGCTTCCTGGCCAGCCCCTCTGAGGCCCTCGCCCCTGCAGAGACGAGGAGGAGCTGAGGCGCTCTCTGTCTGAACTGGCCGACCCCAACCCCAAGGTCATCAAGCGGGTCAGCGGGGGCAGTGGCAGCGGCTCCAGCCCTTTCCTGGACCTGACTCCGGAGCCCGGGGCCGCCGTGTACAAGCACGGGGCCTTGGTGCGCAAGGTGCACGCAGACCCCGACTGCCGGAAGAGTACGTGCGCGGCGGGGGGCGGGGCCGGGTGGGAGCGGGCCTGCCCCGGCCCCCCTGACCTGCCTTCCCTCCCCAGCACCTCGGGGCAAGCGGGGCTGGAAGAGCTTCCACGGGATCCTCAAGGGCATGGTTCTCTACCTGCAGAAGGTGCGGGGCGCCCGGCCGCGGGTGGGCCGTGCTGGCTGGGGCGAGGGAGAGGTGATGCGGGTGGGCCAGGCCCGGTTGGGACCACAAGATGGGCACGCCCGCAGGAGGAGTACCAGCCCGGGAAGGCGCTCTCGGAGGCCGAGCTCAAGAATGCCATTAGCATCCACCACGCCCTGGCCACGCGAGCCAGCGACTACAGCAAGAGGCCCCACGTCTTCTACCTGCGCACGGCGGACTGGCGCGTCTTCCTCTTCCAGGCTCCGTGAGTGCCCAGCTCCCCGCTGGACCGCACCGCATCCGTGACCCGGCATCCCACCCTGCCTGCCCCCTCCCGTGCCCTGGGTTGCCGCTATCCTTCTCTGGCTGCATCCTGAACCAGGACCAGCCCTGGTCCCCGTCCTGTCCGTGCAGGAGCCTGGAGCAGATGCAGTCGTGGATCACGCGCATCAACGTGGTGGCCGCCATGCTGTCCGCACCCCCGTTCCCCGCGGCCGTCAGCTCCCAGAAGAAGTTCAGCCGCCCCCTGCTGCCCAGTGCCGCCACCCGCCTCTCCCAGGTAGCCCTGCCTGCTTGGTCCACCTGGGGCCAGAGGGATGGCGCGGGCGGGCCCAGGTGGACTGTGCAGAAGCCCACTGCGTCCGCACACTGGCCCCAGGGCGGGTGGAGACCGAGGTGTAGCCCAGCCCCAGCCTGCTGATCTGGGAACATGGTGCTTTGGTGCCCAGAGGAAGGGGCAGGTGGGGAGCATTGCACAGGTTACCGTGACCCTGCTGTTGCTCCCCGCCTGCCAGGAAGAGCAGGTGCGGACCCATGAGGCCAAGCTGAAGGCCATGGCAAGCGAGCTGCGTGAACACCGGGCCACCCAGCTGGGGAAGAAGACCCGCGGCAAGGAGGCCGATGAGCAGAGGCAGAAGGAGGCTTACCTGGAGTTTGAGGTGAGCTCCCTGCCGCACCCATTCCTACACGGGCTCAGGCTGGGGCCGGACAGCGTGGAACCAGCGGGTGACCTTGGGCAGGGTGCTTCTCTCTGAATTTTGGTTTTCTCTTCTGGGAAGGAGGTTGTTGAACTCCATACATCCCAGTCACAATGGGGTTCAGGAAGTGATGTGTCTGTCAAGTGCTGAGTTTCCCGGCTCTGGTAACAGCTCAGGGGGTGCCAGCTGCTCACACTGGCAGTCGTGGGTGCTCAGAGAGGGCTGTGGCCTGGCAGGGGCCATCGAGCAGCTCAGGGGTTTAGAGGTGAGCAGGACCCTTGCATCTGGGCTGCACGGTGGGAGACCGGCTGTCACAGCCCTGCCCTCTGCCTCAGAAATCTCGCTACGGCACCTACGCAGCACTGCTTCGGGTCAAGCTGAAGGCGGCCAGTGAGGAGCTGGACGCCATAGAGGCAGCACTGGCCCAGGCTGGGAGCGCAGAGGATGACCGTCCCCCGCCTCACTCCAGCCCCTCCCTGCAGCCTGACCCTGCAGGGCAGCCCCGGGCCCAGCGCACTGGCTCAGCATCCCGGGCCGGGGCAGGCAGTGCAGCCCGGAAGCCCTGAGCTGGGAGGCAGCGTGGTGGGGTGTCTGCGGACGCCCGCATGACGACAGGCCCTGCCTGAGCCCGGCCGGCCTCGGGCCACACAGAGGGCCTCTCAGCAGGGCCCGACCGCGCCGGACGCGGGGTCCGGGGCAGGGCAGGGCAGGTGCAGCCTCGGGAGCCTAGGCCAAGGCCCCCTGAGACCCCTTTTGTGATAATGTTTGCACTTTTTCCTACAGGGGGTGGGTGGGAGGGGCGAGTGCCCGAAGTTTTGATGCAGTATTTTTTTTGTGGGGGAGGCCCAACCACGTTTCTGCTTCCTGCTGGGACCACCTACCCTGACACCAGCAACCCCGCCCTGGGGCCTGGCTCCGGCAGAGGCCAGGAGTGGGGCTGAGCTGGTTTTCCCTCCTCCCCAAGGGCTCCCCTCTGCTCCTGGAGGTGGGAGGGTGTCGTGCACGGGCCAGCGGTGTGGCCTGCTCCCCTCCCTCCCTGGGCCTGCCCTTTGTACAGCCTCCACCCCATTAAAACTGCTCTGAATTGCCAGCTGGGCCTCTTGCTCCTCTTCTCACTGGCTTGGGGCTGGATAGGGACAACAGTTACACTGCAGGGGTCAGAAGTTGTCGAGGGTCCTCCCCTTTTCAAGAAACCTTTATTTGCCCAGCTGAGATGTGGGCATTGGGCGTTAAATAAAACTTGGAGTGGGTGGGGATGCTGTACAGAGGGGTCCGGGAGGAGGGCTGGGGGTGGGCACAGCTCAGTGCACCTGAGGCTGAGGGTGCCCGTGGCAGAGGCCTCCGGGGGGCTCAGGGAGTGGGCCCAGTGTCTCTGCCTCCTGCTCCACGGACTGGCTCCCGTAGGCACTGTCTTCCTTCACTTCAGCTGGGGAGACACGGGAAAGGCAAAAGGCGCGTCAAGGCCTCTGGCCTCCTACCCTCTGGCCCGGGTCCACCTTCCAGGGTGCCTCATGTACCTGTGCTGGGAAGTTTGTCTTGAGTCTCGGGACCTCTCAGCAGTCTCACCCCCTCATCTAGACCCATGTCAGACAGCGCGTCCAGCAGACCCGCCAAGTCCCCACCAGCCAGCTGCGAAGGAAGAGGTGGGAGATCTGAGTAGTGGTTAGGGTGAGGGGTTGGGGGCCCAGGAAGCCGCAGGCTTGGAGGTCACGCAGGTGGCTGGGAGCCAGAGTAGGGCATGGGCCATGTGCCCCACCTTGTAGCTGCGCAGGAGGCTGCCGCTGGGTGAGGGGGTCTTCCGGTACGTGTCCACCAGACTGCGCAGCCCCAGTCGCTCTGCCAGCTCCGCCCAGCTGCCCTGGGCTTCTGGCCCATCTAGCAGCTGCTCCAGGTTTTGTAGGGTGGTCTCGCCCAGGGACAGCCCTGGCCCTGTGGGTGCACACAGATATGAGTTGCCTCTAGACAGGGTAGAGACACAAACACCTGGCCACTGGCGCACTCCCTGGTGACTTTAGGGGCGAGGCCACTGGGGCAGCGGGTGGATGGCGGAGAAGGCCTCGTCAGGGACTCGGGAGGCCTTACCTGCAGGGCTGGGTGGGGTGGGCGGGGGCTCCACGGAGTTCTGAGCAGCACTGAGCAGCAAGGTCTTCACCTGGAGAGGCAGCTGCGATTATCTCCCGTGCCAGTCCCTGAGCCCGGCTACCCTTGAACCCACACACTGGACGCCACCCCCAAACCCAGGAGGTGCGCTGGTGCTTCCAGTGTGGGGCTGGCCTCACCTTAGTGCTTCGAGTGAGGTCAAGTGGCGTGTGGCCACGGAAGCTGCCTCTGCTGTCCCCCTCAGGACCCTCAGAGTCGGAGTCACTCCCAGAGGTGGGGGGTGAGGGCAGTGGGCACAGGGGCTCCTCGTTCTCTGCATGGATGTCAGCTCCTGGGGGACGGCAGTGGGGCCCACATTAAGGCCTGAAAAGTGGGGGCCTGGGCGGCACCTTCACCGTGTGCCCTGTGCAAATGCCTGTGTGCCTGAGACTGACCAGCCTTTAGGAGGAGGCGCGTGAGGGTTGGGGAGCCCAGTCCAGCTGCCAGGTGTAGGGGTGTGTTTCCAGCAAAGGTCCGGGCATTCACGTTGGCGTGCAGCTGTGGGGCGCAAGGAGTGGGTGATCCCACCTGATTCCGCACAGCCACGGCCCCGCCCCTTCCACCGTTCTCTTTCCCACCTTGGTGACCAGATGGGTGACCAACCCCAGCTCCTCCATCTCTGTGGCAAGGTGCAGGGCTGTTCGGCCACCCTGCCGCTCAGCAGCCTCCACTTCCGCCCCGCTGTCCACCAGCAGGTCCAGGCACTCAGGGCTGCGGGCGCGAACTGCCAGGTGCACTGGGTACAGTCCTAGGGGCGCAGGACACTCAGCCTGCAGCTGTGGCTTCACAGCCCTGACCTGTCCACTTCCGCACCTCGGGTCCGCACAGGGGGCCCACCCCACGCGAGTCCTGAGGAGACAGCCCTTACCCTCAAAGTCCGGCATGTGCAACAGCTGGGGCACAGCTGCAGCCCCACTCTGCAGCAGTGCACGCAGTAGATCTGGGGCCCCCACACCTGCCCGCAGTGCCAGGTGCATGGCCGAGTCCCCATGCCGGTCCAGGAGAGCTGGGTCCGCCCCCACCTGCAGCAGGAAGCTCACCACCCGGGTCTGTCCCGTGATCACGGCCAGATGCAGGGGCGTCTGGGGAGGGGGCAAGGTGAGCTGTTCACACCCCAGCTCAGGTTCGCTTGCTTTCCACCCCTACCTCTGGTGAGGTACCCCCTCACCTGGTGCAGGTGATTGGTGAGATTGGCGACGCCGAGATGCTGCGCGTGGTAGATGATGTGGGCTATCTGCTCAATGACCGCGGTCTGTCCGTGGATGATGGCCAGGTGCAGGGGTCTGGGGTGGGGAGGAGACGGGCCTGGTGAGCCCAGCTGCTCGCAGCGTCGGATCCCAGAACGTCCCCAGGGGCACCACCCGGCCAGAACCCAGCCGTCACTTTGCAGGCAGATGGCTGCTAGCGCTGAGCCAACTTCCGGGGCGCGGAGACCCCGGGCAGGGCTCACCAGCACGAGGCGCTCCCCCTCCCGACCTCGCTCGCCCCCCGCGGTCCCGCCTACGTGTCCCCGTTCTCGTCCCGCGCCGTCAGCAGGTGGCGCTGTCCCGCGAGCAGCGCGCGCGGATCGGCCGTGACGCCGTAGTCCAGCAGCGCGCGCGCCTCG